CCCGAGTCCTTCTCGGCAGGGCTGCTCTCGATCCCTTCATCCCCCAGCCCGTATTGATACTGGGGGTTGCCCCGACCCAGGTGCAGGACCTTGCACTTGGCCTTTTTGAACTTCATGCGGTTCGCATGGGCCCACTCCCCAAGCCTGTCCAGGTCCCTCTGGACAGCATCCCGTCCCTCTAGTGAATCAACTGCACCACTCAGATTGGAGTCATCTGCAAGCTTGCTGAGGGTGCATTTGATCCCACCATCTATGTCACTAATGAAGATATTAAATCCTTGCCTGATCCAGAGCAGGAAACTGGACTTCACTGTTACAGCCTCTCCCATTCCAGAGTTTCAATGCAATTGCATGAACTCTCAGAGGGAACAAACTTATAGCTTACTAACTAGACATTTCAAACAGCTCATTTTTTTAATTGCATGTTTTTGTGATTATCATAGAGCTTTTAATGTCTGAGCCACTTGAAAATGTTGCCATCTATATGTTACACCCATGTGGAGAACAAGAGAGGAGCAATAACCTTGGGTTTGAGCACGCATGTTCCCTGCTCCAGCAACTTATGGTAGGGGCTAAGAGGGAACAAAGCCCTGGCTTCTGCAGCAGATAATAATTTCCTTGCTGGAACAGGTCAAAGGCAGATTTATACCTCCCACCCCTCAAGCTCATTCACCTTGGTCAAGAAGAAAAAAAGAAAAAAAGGAAAAAAGAAAAAGGAGGGGTGAGGTGGTGATAAACTATTATTTGAGACTTGTAAAAATCCACGTAAGTGTATTACTAAGCAAGCTGGAGTGTAAATTTAAAAGGTCCTGCTATTCTGTACTTTTATTATTGATTTACTGCAAGGCAGTTAGTCCAACTACAGAACAGAAGGCCATACAGGGAGTTAGGACAGAGAAGGCAGTGCTGGAGAATTCTAGCTTCCTTCATTGTAACATCTGCCCCAAAGACTTTTCTACGAGCCAAAGCAAATCCAAACCCAACTCCTGGAAAGAGCAAGTTTACATCCAGCTCCTTGCCCAAAATTCTGCCTACAGCCAGAACTTCACCCTAACTGGTGTGATGACAAGTCAAAGAAGTTAGTAAAGTACAGGCTTAATTGAAGTTGCACGGACTGCTTTTGCAACTTGAGTAAGGTTGTGTAACAGAAAAGGCAGATCCAACCAGCAGTATTTACAGGGTGTTAAGTAAGGGCTCTCCTGTTACCTGAACATGCTCAAGTTTTACTAAAAATACACCAACCCGAAATAAAAAGGTATGGAATTGCAAGAAAAAGTCTGCTACTGAGCTCATGCAAACCCCAAACCCAGATTCAACGCTCCCTGGAAGCACACATCAGAACATGCTGTTTCTTTGAGGAATTAACAACAACAACAAAATCTTTCTATATGCTTGTAATACACTTCTAATAAAAGACAATTCTTATTATTTTCTATGTGATTATGTTTACTTTGAACTATTAAAATAACAAGAGTTTAATTTTACATGAAAGGTATAAAACCCAGTTGATTTCTGTGGGATTTCAAACTGGCAAAGAGGTCTACCTACCCACAGGTCTCACTGCAACCTTGGTCTCAGTTTAAAACTAATTAGTACAGATTAACAGTTTATTCAGTTATTTATATTTATGGAACTGCTTCCTCTCCCCAGTCCCTTTATCTTTTGTACTAGCAACCTCTAAAATTCCATATCCTC